AAGCTATCTAATTATGCTAAGGATTTAATCACTGATGAGGAGAAACGATGTGAGTTCTTCATCGACGGGCTAGATGAAGAATTCCAAAGGAGTCTCAACAGGACTGTACATCGGAACTTCAATGAGCTCATCAAAGCAACCATGCGTATTGATTCGATCGGAAAGAAAACCTTTGATCAAGGGGAAGCATCATCAAAGAAGAACAACTCCAATACAAAGAATGTTGGTTGGGGAAAATATGGTCCCAAACAACAACAATACTTCAACAATAAAAAGAAGACGGAAACTCTGGTTGAGAGGCCTGAATGCCCTACATGTAATCGTCGTCACAATGGGNGAAGAATTCCAAAGGAGTCTCAACAGGACTGTACATCGGAACTTCAATGAGCTCATCAAAGCAACCATGCGTATTGATTCGATCGGAAAGAAAACCTTTGATCAAGGGGAAGCATCATCAAAGAAGAACAACTCCAATACAAAGAATGTTGGTTGGGGAAAATATGGTCCCAAACAACAACAATACTTCAACAATAAAAAGAAGACGGAAACTCTGGTTGAGAGGCCTGAATGCCCTACATGTAATCGTCGTCACAATGGGAATGTTGGTTTCTAACTGGAGCATGTATGCGCTGTGGTCAGAAAGGTCACATCTCAAAGAACTGTCCCAAACGTACTGACAAGGCGGAAGCACCAATTCAGAATAACAACAACCGCCCACCTCCAAGACAAGCTCCACCAGTGCAAGGAAACAATGACAACAACAACAATCGAGTTCCGGCAAGAACATATGCAATGCAAGGGAGGGAAGATCAATAGAACCGTAATGTTATTATCAGTATGTTCACTATATTCGACAATGACCTATGCGCTTTAGTTGATCCTGGATCTACACATTCTTATATTTGTTTGAATCAACCTTTTACGAAGATGTTGAACAAAAGTCAGCTAGATAATCCGATACTAGTTTCAAACCCCTTAGGCCACAATATAACCCTAAGAGAGGTATATCACAATTGCCCACTAGCAGTAAAAGGGAAAACCTTTCACGCGGACTTAATTGAACTTCCATACAAAGAATTTGATTTGATTCTTGGGATGGATTGGCTCTCCAATCACAAAGCTATTGTGGATTGTCATAATAAAGTATTGACGCTCCAAACTGAGGATGGCTTGATTGTAACCATCAAGGGAGAACTCATCCCGCAAGCACCTCAGTTCATATCCTTAATGCAAGACAAACGCTTAATACGAAAGAAATGTGAAGCATACTTATGCCATGTAAAAGATATGTGGGCGTTAGATCCACAAATACAGAAGATTCCAATTGTCAATGAATTTCCCGATGTCTTTCCCGATGAACTTCCAGGTTTACCTCCACCTCGTGAAGTTGAATTTTCCATCGACCTCGCACCTGGAACCATGCCGGTATTAATCACCCCTTACCGTATGGCTCCAGCAGAAATGAAGGAGTTAAAGGCTCAACTTCAAGAATTGTTGGACAATGGATTCATTAGGCCAAGTGTATCACCCTGGGGAGCACCTGTATTATTTGTTAAAAAGAAGGATGGTTCATTGCGATTATGTGTGGATTACCGACAACTCAACAAGTTAACTATTAAGAATCGATACCCATTACCACGTATTGATGACTTGTTTGATCAGCTACGTGGAGCAAGCGTCTTCTCAAAGATTGATTTAAGATCTGGATATCATCAACTTCCAGTTAAAGCTGATGACATTCCAAAAACCGCCTTCAAGACTCGTTATGGACATTACGAGTTTACGGTGATGCCTTTTGGATTAACCAATGCACCAGCAGCTTTCGTGGATCTAATGAACCGAATATTCCGTCCCTACCTAGATCAATTTGTTGTTGTCTTCATCGACGACATATTGGTCTACTCAAAAACTGCTAAAGAGCATGAAAAACACCTTAAGATTGTACTCCAAATTCTAAGGGAAAATCAATTATATGCCAAGTTATCCAAGTGCGAATTTTGGTTGAAAGAAGTGGTTTTTCTTGGACATATTATCTCAGATGAAGGAATTCGTGTAGATCCAACAAAGATTGTCGCAATTACTGAATGGAAAGCTCCGCGTAATGTTCGAGAAGTAAGAAGTTTTCTTGGTTTAGCAGGTTACTATCGAAGGTTTGTCCCTGTCTTTTCAATAAAAGCATCGCCCTTGAACAAGTTGTTGAAGAAAGACCAAAGGTTCTAGTGGACAGAATCATGTCAGAAAAGTTTCAAGGAACTAAAGACTGCACTCACACAAGCTCCCGTTTTAGTTCTTCCTGAGCCTGGAAAGGACTATGTCGTTTATAGTGACGCATCTCATAATGGACTAGGATGTGTCTTAATGCAAAAAGGAAAGGTAATAGCTTATGCTTCAAGACAATTAAAAGAACATGAAAAGAATTATCCCACACATGATTTGGAGCTAGCGGCAGTGGTTTTGGCGTTAAAAATTTGGCGTCACTATCTATATGGCGAAAAGATATACATCTACACTGATCATAAAAGCCTGAAATACCTTCTCACACAAAAAGAACTCAATTTGAGACAACGAAGGTGGTTGGAATTAATAAAAGACTATGATTGTGTCATTGACTATCACCCCGGGAAGGCTAATGTTGTGGCTGATGCCTTAAGTAGAAAGACATTGGCTGAACTTCATGTTCAATCAACATTAGAAACTGAAATCCTTGTAAGACAAACTCAAGATCAATTTTGCAAAGAGATGGCTAAGCTTGTTTCTAATGGTGAGAAACAAGAATTCTCTATTCAATTGAACGGAGGACTATACTATCGGTCAAGATTAGTTGTACCCAACGGTGACATTCGAACTAAAATTATGCAAGAAGCACACAATACTACTTAAATGTACCAAGACTTGAAACAACAGTACTGGTGGCAAGGCATGAAGCGTGACATCACAGAGTATACAACGAGATGTTTAACTTGTCAACAAGTTAAGGCCGAACATCAAGTTCCATCAGGATTACTACAACCTATCACTATTCCTGAATGGAAATGGGACCGTATAACGATGGACTTTGTCATTGGGCTACCTCAAACTCTAAAGAAGAATGATTCAGTTTGGGTAATCGTGGATCGACTCACAAAATCAGCTCACTTTTTACCTATTCGAAGGGATTTTTCATTACAAAGACTGGCTGAACTTTACATTCAAGAAGTTGTACGACTTCATGGAATACCCCTCTCTATCATTTCCGATAGAGACCCAAGGTTCACATCCCAATTTTGGCAAACATTTCAAAAGGCTTTGGGAACTAAGCTACACCTCAGTACGGCGTTCCATCCTCAGACAGATGGACAATCAGAGCGAGTAATATAGATTCTTGAAGACATGATGAGGTCTTGTGTCATCGACTTTGGAGGAAACTGGGAAAAATATTTACCTCTAATGGAGTTTGCATACAATAACAGTTATCAATCGAGCATTCAAATGGCACCATACGAAGCACTATATGGACGGAGGTGCAGAACTCCTGTATGCTGGACAGAATTAAGTGAGCGTAAATTGATTGGACCTGAAATAGTTCGAGACACTGAAGAGAAGGTAAAGACCATTCAAGACAAACTCAAAGCTGCATCCGATCGTCAAAAATCCTATGCTGATCTCAAACGCAAAGACATGGAGTACAAAGTCGGCGAAAAAGTTTTTCTCAAAGTATCACCCTGGAAACATGTCTTACGATTTGGGAAGAAAGGAAAATTAAGTCCAAGATACATTGGTCGGTACGAAGTCATTGAACGTATTGGGCTAGTGGCCTATCGTCTCGCATGACCAAATGAGCTCAACAAGATACACGACGTTTTCCACGTATCAATGTTAAGAAGGTATCAAGCAGATCCCACGCATATACTACAACCAGGAATGGTAACCTTGGATGAAAACTTAACTTACGAAGAAGAACCTGTTCAAATCCCTGACCAAGAAACCCGACAACTCAGAAGCAAGAAAGTGCCACTTGTCAAGGTTCTCTGGAGGAATCATGCCACAGAAGAAGCAACTTGGGAGACGGAAGAATCAATGAGACAACAGTACCCACATTTGTTTGATCTTATGACAGGTAAATTTCGAGGACGAAATTTCTTTAAGGGGGAAGAATTGTAACATCCCAAAATAGGGCCTAAAAAATTCATTATATGATTAGTAAACTTTAATGATTCAATTTTGTAATTTAGAAATAATTTTTTTTAAACCATTAGTTTAAAATTATTAGAAGAAATTATATTGTTAGAACAAATTTTTAGAAGTACTAAATGATGTAGAATCCAATTTGATTAAAATTTGGGTAAAGTGGTTATTTGGACAACCCCGTATTTATGATATTGGTAAAACAAAAACCCATATATGTCAATAGAATTCAAGTGGTAGAAGCGAAAACAGAAGGAGGCTGTTTAATACTTCACCCGTGTTCGATTCTCACCTCAGGCCAAGTACGGAATAATTTTTTTTCTCCTTAGACAACAAACACAGTTTAAAAAAAACAGCAAGTCAGCAACCATGTGTAGAAAATTGCAGATTTATTCCCAAACATCCTAATCAATATTTGTTTTTGGGACTCTTTGAGAATCAATTTCTAGGCTATTTTGGAGTCTTTTTAGTTACTTAAACACATTAATTTACTCCATATCAACCCAAACATCATCAAATATTCTAAAATATTTTTAATGGGTATTGATGACATATTTGAAGAGTTTTACACTTCTCTTGATTCTTTTTTTTGATATGATCCTGATTTTATGATGTTATAATCCTCCAAAAATAATTTAAATTATCATGATCAAGTTGAGGTAATCTTTATTGGTTGTTTCTACAAGTTTTTACCTATAAATACCACCCAAACTCATTCATTTTTCTCCATTCTCTCTTCTTAAAATTGCAGGTTGAAAAGAGAAGAAATATGAGATATATAGGTATTTTTATAATTCAATAAAATGAGGGTTATGTGATGGTTTGGAAAGGGTTTAGACTAGAAGAAGTTAGAGCCAACAAGAGTTCGTTTAGAGCCCGTTTAAGGTAAGAAAACTCTCCCGAAAATCCTGCATTTTTTTTGTGTTCTTCAAGTTATTGAGACACTTTTTTCTATTTTTTTTGTTCTTCGGTAAAGCTCCATAACACCTCTAAAGTCTCGGTTCCTTACTAGTCTTCAACAAGTCTGTTTCACTTTCTCTCTCGAACTCGAGGTATGTACAAAATCATATTGCACGGACTTCCCGTTCAACTATTATATTTGTAAAAATATTTTAAAACAAAACATCTTTGTATGATTCAAAGTTATTTAAAAAAAATATACAAAGTAGTATTTTACTTTCAAATTAATATTTTATACACTTTTAAAAGTGATTTATTATAAAATATTGATTTATAAAAATGATTTGATATATAGGAAATAATATTCAAACTTTTATATTATCATAAGTTTAAACAACTTGAGATCATCGTAAACTTGTATTTCAGAGCAACGGTAGGAGACCCCTATCACCGCTCATTGTATACGTATACAGAACCATCGGCCAAGGTTGCGAGAATGATGCCCAAAAGGCATTATTTCTCAGGGCTACATTCGGAGACCCCGGGTGTATGTCGTTAAATTGAATATTTCGTATCTCAGTGGTTTGATAAAATCTTGTATAAAGTTTTTATCTAACTTATATCTATGTAGTTTCATATATGGAAATTCATTCTGTGAAAGTGAGATATTGATCTTTGTAAAAATTATATTTTTACGAGACTCCGTCCTATATTGTTTTGTACCACACAGCAAATATGCTGAGCGTACAGTATTTTTGGTTTTTACTGTGCGTAGGTGATGTAGCTCGAACTAGTGGAAGAGCAGGACATGGAAATTAAATCCGTTTTAATAAATACGGTTATGTGTTTATTTATTTGCTTGAATAAAAAGTTTGTATTTTATTTTATGACGTTATGTTCACAAACATATTGTGTATTAAACTCGTTTCCGCTGCTTTTAATAAACATTTATATGATGTTTTTATAAGAAATTAGTATATTTCCTCTTAACTCTCTAATTTGGAATAGTCCACGACACTGTTCAAGTTAGGGTGTTACATCAAGAGACCGGGACTTAGTGGATTCGGAAATCCTTAAGGAGGAGCCTGAAGGTACAGGAGTACGGGTTTCCCGAACCAGTATAAAATTGGTGTGTTTTTTACTTAACGCTTTTACTTTTGCGTTTTATATATCGGTTCTGCATTTGCCAATACCCTTTTTATTACACTCCGAAAAGTTTTGAAACGCCTTATTCACCCCCCCACGAAGGCGTGTGCACAATGACTAAAACCGATTAACAAGTGTTATCACAGGGGTTTCGTACTTGAAAGTGCTTAACCGCGTCTACGACAAAGATCCACTTGTTGTGTCCCTTTTTAAACTTGAATTTTTAAATATCAAAAGTTTATTACCTCTGATTTTTAAAATTCAAGATTTTCAAAATGGCCTCAATGGATTCACAAAGCATTCACCGCCCTTCGTTTTTTCAATGGCCAAAACTACTACTATTGGAAAATGCGGATGGAATATTTTATTTAATCAAATGATTTTGATTTATGATTGAATATACTTTACGGGCCATTTTTGCTGAGAAATGGCGATTTTGTGGGATTATCCTCGGAGGACAAGAGAAAATTGTCCATAAATGCAAAGGCGATGAACATCTTTTATTGCTCCCTTGGCCCCGACGAATTTGCAAGAGTGAATACGTGCAAAATGGCCAAGGAAGTATGGAATCTATTAGAAGCCACTCACGAAGGGGACGTCTCAACAAAAGAAACGATGATTGCCCTAGGAAACTCCAAATATGAATCCTTCAAGAAAGGGCCATGTGAGACAATCCAAGACATGAACAAGAGGTTCAACAAGATTGTCAACAAATTGAGTAAGTTGGGTAAGATGTATACTACTTCCGAGTTTAATACGAAAATTCTATTTTCTTTACCTAAAGAATGTCATAGTAGTATCGTAGATTTATTACCCAAATGTGATAAGGCCGAAACTGCCCACATTTGGTCTTCCTTGTTTTCTCATGAGCTTTTATTGAAAAATATCAAAGAGGAAGAAATGCTTGCAAATCCCAAACTTACCAATGCCTTCAAAGCTTCCCAAGACTCATCAAGTGACGAATCGAGTGAGTCAAGTGATGAATCAAATGACTCAAGCACATCCGAAGAGTTAAATGACAAAGAAGATGAAGAAAAGGCGATGAGAAGGAAGTATACGAATTTGCTCAAATGGAAAAAGCATGTGAAGAGGAAAGAAGCATATTCAAAGCCGAAGAAAGAACAACATAAGCTAAGGTAAGTTTTTTCTCACTTATTGGGATAAGAATTTTTTTGTTGTTTTTAATATTTTTCAAAAAATAAAAATTTATCCCATATATGCTCTAACTTTCTTTAGCCTTGTTTTGCATGATTAAATAATTTTTCAAAATTTATTTTCAAAATCATACCTTATTAAAATTATCCCCAAAAATCCATGAAAATAAAGTTTTAAACTTGCATCATTTTAGGAGGAGTTTTTTTGTTTTAGGGGAAGTTTTGTTGTAAATGCACTTTTTTGCCCAATTATATCCAAACTATCATTATTTTAAATATTCATTTTGATAGAGGAAGTGTAACGCCCCAAAACGTACCCTAAAATTATTAGTGAATAATTATTCGATTAATCAAATTTACTTTAATTAAAATAAATTTAGGGTTTGGACCGAAATGAAATATGTTTAGATATCCAATATTACAATCTAGATAAATCTCATAGAGATAAATCACATATGTTGACTATTGTGTTACCTTGATTAGGAACTTGAGTACATACCCAAATCAAGAATAAATGAAGAAATTTTTATGATGTGAACTTTGAAAAGATTTATTAAAAATAAATCATGAGAATAAAAAAAATGAATTAAGTAAGAGAACCTTTTTTAGTAAAGGTCAATTAAATCAATTTTGACTCTATCAAAGTCAAACACCCAAAAATATGATGACAGAAAAAGTATTAAAAATAAATGTAAAAATTATATCGTTAGATAGAGTTTAATTGTCTAATCACAACGATGCAAACGGAATTCAATTCGGAGAAAGTTGGACCAAAAAGTGTACCCCAACTGGGACCAAATTAGTCCCAATCAAGGACTTATGTTTAGAATCGAAGAAGGACAGCAGCCCGCTCCATTCAGCCGTCGAAACAGGGAAACATTCATCATCAATGTTTGTCTCTTCCTCCATTCCTTCCCTATATAAGGACCACCTTCATCCCCTCAATTCTCCACCATTTCTCACAATTCTTATATCTATTCTGTTGCTGGGAGTGAGGAGAACGAAGTGGTGCTGTCATATTGGTGTGAGGCCGCCGGAGTTGAGAGCTATCATTAAGCTTCGAGGTAAGCCCATAGATATATCTAGAGACTAGAATGTTTGTATAGATTGTTTCTATGTTCATAAACGGTCGTTTGTTTGAGTTTTGTGTTTGACATATTTGAAGAACCAAGAATCTTAAACAATGAAATTGTTGTTAAAACTACGAATTAATGACTCTAAAATGATCTATGAACATTAGAAAACATTCCTATATAATTTAATTGAAGTTTGGTGTGTAAAATGATATTTTCAAAAAAGGACCGAGGAAAAAGACGATGAACACAAGACATTAATCGATTAACTCATTCTGTTTAATCGATTAATAGATTAATTCATGTTGATTAATAGATTAATTCATGGTTGATTAATAGATTAATTTTGATTAATAGATTAATTCATTGTTGATTAATAGATTAAATCATGGTAGATTAATACATTAATTTATGTTAATTGATTAAGGCATTCTGATTTAATCAGTTAATAGATATTAATCGATTATTGTATCTTGCATAATCAATTATCTCTCTGTTCCACTGAAACATTTGAAGACAGAAGCGATTATTCGATTTCCCATCTCCGTTTAATCGATTATTTCATGCAGAAAACTTATTTTAAAACATATTCTTGACATCAAACAAATATGATCAATATGAAAATGATTTCTTGAAATAAAAATGATGTTTTAGCAAATCCAATAACCCTATATAATGCATGACGGTAAGCTAGAATGTTAACATTCGAAACTAGGCCGCTAATTGTTATTGAATATTATGTTGATTATTACTAATTGATGATTATGATGATGATTATTGTGATATTTAAATCTTGATGAATATTCTGATTAAAAATGATAATTATGAACAATTAAATCATAATGAATATATTGATAATTGTGAAAAAATAATATGTATTATTAAAGGCATCTAGAATAACTCTAAGATATATCCATAGAAATGTTGATTTTGAAAGGTATCTAGAAGACCTCTAAGATATACCCATTTAAGTTAGGCCTTGCGGGTATGATACCCAGTGGCTACGGTTAAAACGCACGTACGGGATCCAAGAACAAAACTTGAGTACCTACTCGTTTGGGGGTACCACCCACCAAACAGTGAACACTACGCTCTCGGTTTCTGGTTGGCCTTAAGTGAAGGTAAGTTTAAGATCTTGAAGACCTCTTTTATCTTAAACTAGGCCTAGCTCAATGATTATTTAGGAGTACCTTAAACTGGAATATAGTTTAATTATCTTAAACTAGAATTCGTTTAAGGGTTGATAAACATTAAAGTGATTGGCCTTAGACTAACAATAGTTTAAAGATATTGTCGATTGTTAAATATGAATGTTGAATGTTGAATAAGAATGAATATTGAATAATGATTATTGAATTGAATATTATGAATGACTGATGAACGTTGAATGGGAATATAAATGTTAAATAATGAATGATGAATATTGACTAATGATTATTGAATATCTGAACTGAACATTATGTGCATGATATCAAATGATTTGATTATGAATTGAGATTCAGTTTATATGGATGTTTGACACATTAGATATGCTTACTCAGCTTCAACGCTGAGCGCAGGGGCGGACCCAGAACTTTTGAACCACGGGGTCGCATTTTTAAAAATTCATATCAAACCGTAACATTTCTAAAATTAAATAGAAAAATACTTCATAGTATACTCGATCCCTTCATCCCACAAACTCTTTTTCCTTTCTTTTTTTCTTTGTCCCACAAAATACTTTCCATTTCTATTAAAAAACTATTTTTTATCCATATTAATTCTTATCCCACTTATCACAGCATACATTTTTACCAAAAATCTACCTCTCACAATATATTTTTAGTCATCATATTAAGAATATTTTTGGAAAGTTAAGACAAAGATATCTAGTCCTTAATTCTCCTTAGAGTCTAAATGGGAAGGACATTAAGGGATGAAGGAAGTTTAATATTAAAGTTCACATATGCCATAAAATCACAAATTAATATTACTCTTTCATTAAAAATATAAAATACATATTTGAAAGTCTGGTTTTCATATTTTGAAAGTGATTTATTATAATATTTAATACCTCTATTTCCTATATTGAAATTTAAATAATTAAGAGCATTACAAATTTACAATAAAACTCAATCATTTTAACATATTCACGATCTTTCAAAATGTAAATGTAATTCACAAATTACAAATTGAAAAGCATAAATTTAAAAATTCACAATTCACAAATAACAAATTCAAATATCCAATTCCCGTTCAATCATGCTAAAAAAACTATCTCTTGAAGAGTAAAGAACAAAAAATACACACGAAAGAAACCTTAGTATAGATATTCCAAAAAAAACAAAAGAAGAATGCTTGCAAAATATAAATCTAATTCACAATATACAAATTGAAACAATAAATGTTAAAATTCACAATTCACAAGCAATAAATCCATATATCCAATTCACATTTAATTATGTTTTAAAAAACCGTCTCTTAAAGAGGTAGAAGATCAAGAAAAAATGCACAAAAAAGAGCTTTGAGGGGAGGTTTTGAAAAAAGCAAAAAAAAAACCCACAAGAAGAGTCGAACTCAAGATGGTCAAGGTGCAAAAAGTGGCAATTTCCACTCTGGCTACTTGTATTAATATGTCATACAGCGTTTTTTTAGGTATATATTATTACTAATTACATATACTTATAGGTATATATATAAAATTATAAATTTTCCGTGGGGTCGCGTGACCCCGTATGACTCAACATGGGTCCGCCCCTGTCCCTAATCACCTCCCAATGGCTAGTTTACACCTTCCCGTATAAATACAAGCCTAATACTTCATATTTCAACATGAACTCAAGCTCCAAACATCCTACTTTTATATTTCAAGTGTGTTTACTCTTTTATGCTTAATTCTTCATATTTTGGATATGTTAAGAGTCTCATTCACTTGATATTTATACACACACTTTTGAGCTTGTATTTTAGTGATATAGTCTCATATTCATAAGTTTATATTGTATTTTTGAGAGAGTATAATTTTATTCTACATCGGCTAAGTCTTGTCTTCATTTTTGTATTCAAGCCATTGTGTAGAACCATTTCTTCTGTTCTTCAAGCCCACTTTCTTACGATTAAGAATAGCTGTTAAATTCTCAAGTATTAACGGTCTAGGATAGCCGTATAAATCCTTGGGTTAAAGTTCAATCATAGCCTTTGAAATTCTTGGGGGGAACGGTCGAAGATAGCCGTGAAATTTTCATTGTAAACGGTTTGAGATAGCCGTTGTAAAATCTCGGAGTGAATCCTATTGGCAAGGGTTGTTTGCCAAACTAGTCGGTGCTTTAACGGAGTTCAAAAGATCGGGACTTAGTAGATTCGGAAATCCTTAAAGAGGACCTTTAAGGTACTGGAGTAGGGGTTTCCCGAATAAGTATAAAATCGGTGTGTCTTTTACTTTACGCTTTTATTTCTACATTTTATATATCACTTCCGCATTTTCCAATACCGTTTTTACTAAACTATGAAAATTTTTCAAACGCTTTATTAAACTATGAAAATTTTTCAAACGCCTTATTCACCCCCCACTAGGGGCCAGACCTAGTGGAACAAGTGGAGCTCCGAGAAGGTTTCTTATAGCGTGCATAATCTTTGTTTTGAAACTTTCCAACTCCAAAGATTTTTGTCTTAATGCAATTGAAGGATCACAAACCAAATCTTGTATTGCGCAAGATATATTTACGCCAAACACATATAAATCTGAGTCAGAATATGGTAGGTCTAAAAGATGACGAAACAAGTGGAGATTCTTCATAATTTCATCTATGTGATCATAAGCTACTCTTACTCCTTTGTGGAACTCAATTTTTCCATAAAAAATTTTCTTTAACAAACCAAGAAGTTCGTTCAAAGCAATGTCTATCATGCTGATAATTGATGGTAAATCCTTCGAGACATTACAAAAATGCAGCAAAACACTTCTCTCTCTTTTTTTTCGATCGCGCCGCTGAAACTTTGAAGGGTTGAGCTTTTGTTTTTTGCTCAACGAAGACTAAATCAATCTCCCAACACAAATAAAAAAAAATCACAAACCAACAAATATAATATGGAGTTTAGAACTTCAGGGAGGAACATTACTCTTACGGCAAAACGTGTAGAATTCAGATTGGGAGTTGTTTTTGGCTCTTCGGCTATTGAGGCTTTGATCCTGTTCCGATTCTTTTTTTTTTTTGCAGAATCAAACCTCTTCTTTTTGTTACATGGAAACAAAGGCAAATTATATTATACATCCGGTTGTACTCAATTTTGGGTTCAACCAAGAAACTATTTATGGTATGGATTTTATTTTACATGAGAACGAACACTAAGTTATTTGAGAATGAATACTATTTTGTTTCAGAGTGAACACTACATTATTCGTAGATGAATATTATAATTATATTGAACCAATGTGTGATAATGAGTACTGCATTATTTTAGAATGAGTACCACGCTAATTATATTTGTGCGAGGAAGAAGAAAAAGAATTGAGGCGAAGGAGGGAATCACAAATCGAGAGGGGAGAAGGAATTAGGGGTTTGAATTGTTTATTGATTCATTATTCTAAATGAGGTTACATCTCTATTTATAGGGATAAGGACCATAAAGATAACTTGACAGTTCAATAAAAGCGACGAGAGAAAGAACCGTAAAGAAACTTCAAAAGAGCTTATAATTTCGCTCACCTAATAAAACCTAAACTACAATAATAATAATAATAATAATAATAATAATAATAATAATAATAATAATAA